TGTGTGTCTATTTGTTTTTGTGTTCGTGTGTGTGTTTGTGTGCTTGTGCGCTTGTGTGCGTGTGTGTTTGTGTGTGTTTGTGTGTGTTTGTGTGCGTGTTTGTGTGTGTTTGTGTGTGTGTGTGTTTGTGTTTGTGTGTGTGTGTGTTTGTGTGTGTGTTTGCGTGTGTTTGTGTTTGTGTTTGTGCGTGTGTTTGTGTGTGTGTTTGCGTGTGTGTTTGTGTGTGTTTGTGCGTTTGTGTGTTTGTGTGTTTGTGTGTTTGTGTGTTTGTGTGTCTGTGTGTTTGTGTGTTTGTGTGCTTGTGTGTTTGCGTGTTTGGCTTTGTTTGTGTGTGTTTGTGTGTTTGTGTGCTTGTGTGTTTGTGCGTTTGTGCGTTTGTGCGTTTGTGTGTTTGTGTGTTTACGTGTTTGTGTGTGTTTGTTTGTGTTTGTGTGTGTTTGTGTGCTTGTGTGTTTGCGTGTTTGGCTTTGTTTGTGTGTTTGTGTGTGTGTGTTTGTGTGTTTGTGTGTTTGTGCGTTTGTGCGTTTGTGCGTTTGTGCGTTTGTGCGATTGTGTGTTTGTGCATTTGTGCGTTTGTGCGTTTGTGTGTTTGTGTGTTTGTGTGTTTGTGTGTGTGTGTGTTTGTGCGTTTGTGCGTTTTGTGTGTTTGTGTGTTTGTGTGTTTGTGTGTTTGTGTGTTTGCGTGTTTGTGTGTGTGTGTGTTTGTGTTTGTGTGTGTGTTTGTGTGTGTGTTTGTGTGTGTTTGTGTGTTTGTGTTTGTGCGTGTGTTTGTGTGTTTGTGTGTGTGTTTGTGTGTGTTTGTGTGTGTTTGCGTGCGTGTTTGTTTGTGTGTGTTTGTGTGTGTGTGTGTGTTTGTGTGTTTGTGTGTGTGTGTTTGTGTGTTTGCGTGCGTGTTTGTGTGTGTGTTTGTGTGTGTTTGTGTGCGTTTGTGTGTTTGTGTGTGCGTTTGTGTGTGTTGGTGCGTTTGTTTGTGCGTGTGCTTGCGCGTGTGTTCGTGGGGTGCGTGTGTGTGTGTGGGTGTGTGGGTGTGTGGGCGATGTTGTTGTTTGTTGCTATTGGTTGTTGCTAGTAGCTAGTTGTTTGTTGGTTGTTTGTTGTTTGTCTGTTTTGGACCTTTGTTCTTTGTCTTTTGCTCTTTGTCTGTCTTTGCTCCTTGTCCTTTGTTCTTTGTTCTTCGTTCTTTGTTCTTTGTTTTTGTTCTTTCTTCTCGGTTCCTTGTTCTACGTTCTCTGTTCTTTGTTCTTTGTTCGGTGGTCCTTGTTCTTCGTTTTTCTTTCTTTTTTGTTCTTCTTTCTTCTTCTTTGTTGTTCTTTGTTGTTCTTTGTTCTTCTTTGTTGTTCTTTGTTCTTCTTTGTTGTTCTTTGTTCTTCTTTGTTGTTCGTTCTTTGTTGTTCTTTGGTTGTTCTTTGTTGTTCTAAGTTGTTCTTTGCTGTTTTGTTTTGTTTTTTGCTGTTCTTTGTTCTTTGTTCTTTGTTCTTTGTTCTGCGTTGTTCTGCGATGTTCTTTGTTGTTCTTTGTTGTTCTTTGTTGCCCTTTGTTGTTCTATTTTGTTTGTTTGTTCTTTGTTCTTTGTTGTTCTTCTTTGTCAACTTGGCCCTTCTCTGTTCTTTGGTCTCTGTTCTTTGTTCCGCGCCCCCTGTTCTTTGTTCTTTGCTCTATGCTCTATGCTCCTTGCTCCTTGCTCCTTGCTCCTTGCTCCTTGCTCCTTGCTCCTTGCTCCTCCTTGCTCCTTGCTCCTTCTTCCTTGCTCCTTGTCCTTGCTCCTTGGTGTTTGCTCCTTGGTGTTTGTTGGTTGTTGCTTGTCGGCTGTTGTTTGTTGGTTGTTGTCTGTCTGTTTGCTGGTTGTTGGTTGTTGGTTGTTGGTTGTTGTTTGTTTGGCGCTTGTCACTTGGCGCTTAGCGCTTGTTGCTTGCTGCTAGTTGCGTGTTGCATGTTGCTTGTTTCTTGTTCCTTCTTTCTTGGTTGCTGGTTGCTGGTTGTTGGTTGTTGGCTGTTTGGTTGTTGGTTGTTGGTTGTCGGTTGTTGGTTGCTGGTTGCTGCCTGTTGGGTGTTGGTTGCTGGTTGCTGGTTGTTGGTTGTTGTGACTTTTGGTTGTTGGCAGTTGGCGGTTGGTCGTTGGTCGTTGGTCGGCGGTCGTTGGTTGTCGGTTGTTGGTCGTTGGTCGTTGGTCGTTTGCTTGTTGTTTGTCGTTTGTTGTTTGTTGTTTGTTTGTTGCTTGTTGCTTGTTGCGTGTTGTTTGTCGCTTGTTGCTTGTCGCTTGTTGCTTGTTGCTTGTTGTCGGTTGCTGGCTGTTGGTTGTTGGTTGTTGGTTGTTTGGTTGTTGGTTGTTGGTTGTTGGTTGTCGGTTGTTGGTTGCTGGTTGCTGGTTGTTGGTTGTTGGTTGCTGGTTGCCGGTTGTTGGTTGTTCTGATTGTTGGTTGTTCTGATTGTTGGTTGTTGGTGGTTGGTGGTTGGCGGTTGGAGGTTGGTTGTTGGTGGTTGGCGGGTGGGGGTTTGTGGTTGGTGGTTGGCGGTTGGTGGTTGGTGTTTGGCGGTTGATGGTTGGTGCTTGGTGTCTGCTTGTTGGTTGTTGGTTGTTGGTTGTTGGTTGTTTTTTGTTTGTTGTTTGTTGTTGGTTGTTGGTTGTCTGTTGTCTGTCCCCTGTTGTCTGTTGTTGGTTGTTGGTTGTCTGCTGTCTGTCCCCTGTTGTCGGTTGTTGTTGTTGCTGTTGTTGTGTGTATGTGTGTCTGTGTGTGTGTGTGTCTGTGTGTGTGTGTCTGTGTGTGTGTGTCTGTGTGTCTGTGTTTGTGTGTGTGTGTGTTTGTGTGTGTGTCGGTGTGCGCCTGTGTGAGTGTGTCTGTGACAACCAAACCTTTCAAGGGGAGCTGCGCTCGCACGACCGACTTATTTGCGCAAGAGCAGGGGGGCAGCGGAACCCGCGGATGTCTGTCCCGGCCAACGAGGACACGCCACAGGTGCAAACGTGCCTGCTTTCGGCTTCTGTAAGTCCCTTCGGCCTCTTGTCACGACGCGTTAACGCTGTCCATTTTCTTACAAGCCAAGCCTAGCTCCCCAGCTTCCAGGCTGTACTTGTACAGATTGTTGCAATTCGACTTCAAACAAAACAAGAAATAGAAAAGGGACATTCAGACATGGACAAGATCGACAAGGCGCCGCGGCGCAACTCATTTGCGTGTTGTTTGTTGATGTCCAGCGGGTGTCGAGTCTAGCCGAACCCGGCGCCAAGCGCCTGACAGATGGCAAGACAGTTCTATGAACGACGCGTCCAGAGCAATGATTGAGTCAGGCAAAGTTGGCCCAAAACTGATGATGTCCGAGATCAGGGCTGGACGTCAAGTGTTTTTCGAGCCAGCGTTGAGATGGTGGAAAGCGGGTAGTTTTTTCATGTTTGTAGTTCCCCAGTAGCTCTCAGAGAGCAGGAGGCAAGATCCGGCGAGCTCGTTTTGCAGCCACAACACAAACCCCTCTAGATAGCTCCCCTGCCCCCCCCCTTCATTTGCCGCGGCGCCCCATCGTTGAAACACGGAATCGCACAGCGCTCCCTCTTCAATCGCCTGTCGCCTTCCCGCCCTACCTCATTTATTGCGCAGCGGGTATTCGGCAGGGTCCTCACAATCCACTTGGGAGCAAGAGCTCGGTTTGTATTGATTTGTCGGTTTGTCAGGCCTCGGGAACTGATACCCCTTCAAATCCAAGACGCGGCGGCTATGTATGTCGAACGTGGAGTTCCCTCTGAGTCAACTTGCAAAATAGCTACTGCGGAACGCACATTGCCAGCCAACGCTCTTGGAATGTCTGTCCTAATTTACTTCTTCAGTTGGCTACGCACCCCCGTAAGCAACCGTTACTTCTTCAGATGAACCCCGAAGCAAGCCGTGCAATCCCCCTGAGTTAATTTGCGCGCTTGGACGAGACAAGCTTCTACAAGCCGGGAACTCTCTAAAACAAAGTCTCTCTGAGAATACAATTTCGTTCGCAAGCGCACAGAGCCCTGTTTGCTCCATCTCTGAACGACACACAAACCAGTGACTTGGCGGGCGCCCTGGATCTATACCGGATATTTACCGGCTGGAGCAGCAACAGCCGGTTGTTGCGCCTCAAGAGACTTTAACCGGTGTGCGCGAGAGCCAACCAAGAGTAGCATCACTGCCTGTAGGGCACCCTTCGCAAATCGCGATAAGCATAGAGGGGCTACTTTTCGCGGGAGCGCTGCTAAGCGCCTCGGTGAGTGTCGCGCCTGGTCCCCCAGGAGAGGTCAAGCGTTAAGTGCGAGAGCCAACGGAGTAACGCCTTTTTAAATAAGGAATCACGAAACTCCTTTTGATTGCGGGTCGGCTGTGGGAAAGCAACGCGCGCTAGACGTCGCCCCAGGTTGAAGCGTCGGGGCGCCAACAAACTGCCCGCATAGAGTGGCTACTGCGTGCGCGATAGCCCTTTTGAGGGAGAGCTGTGCTCGCACGACCGATTTCTTTGCGCAAAAGCAGGGGGCCAGGAACCCATGAATGTCTGTCCTGGCCAACGAAGACAAGACACCCCCCAAGCGGGCCTGCTTTCGGCCGGTTCGGGATGATATTGCTGGTGTTGCTTCTGCAAGTCCCCTCGTCCTTTTGTCATGACGTGTTAATTATGTTTGTTTTCTAATAAGTGAAGCGGCTTCGATGCTGTACTTGTACAGAATGCTGCCCTTGGACTTCAATTAAAACAAAAAACAACAAAAGGCTAAAATCCCTCAAACCGTGAGCGAGAGATATTCAGACATGGACAAGATCTACAAGGTGCCGGGACCGTCTTCGAGCCACATTTCCAAAAATCAGCAGTGTGAACATGAGCCCATGCATGGATATACCAAAGCCAAAGCCCGAATCCGATTGACCGGCTCCTTGTCAAGAATCCTCAATCTGGCATGAGGAGATGCATGTTGATGCACTGTCGCAGTTACATCATCCTTGCCCACGGTACATCAATACTACATGACGACCTTCACGTTTACAAATGTGAGGAATGGAGAGTGGGACACAAAGACAAGGAACAAAGGGGGAGACGGCGGGGGAGAGAGAGAGAGAGAGAGAGTGAGGGAGAAAAAAAGATATCCAAAAAAAGATGTCAAAATGGAAAAAGCAAGAGAAGGTTGAGGTATCAATTGCATGCGAAGAAAGTGACATGGCAGTATCGAGGGGCCAAGCTTTACCTGGCATCGTAGTGCGAGCCAAGTAGCTTCCACTGTCTTTTGCTGATGGATCGATCCTGCGCAGTCCATGCGCATTCATTGTTCATGCGTCCCAGCTTCCCTCACACGCATAGGCCAAAAAATTCATGACATTTCTTCCTGAGTCTGCGGCCGTGTAGTTTGGGGTCACTGGTGCCCCATCTTTGCCAGAGTTTCGGAGCTCTTCACACCTGGCCGTCTTGGTCCTGTTTGGCAATATATTCTTCCATTTGGAGTGAACATAAGAGTCTGGAAATGTGCGTGCCTTTGATACTCTGCAGTTTCTTTGCCTAGGCCAGGCTTCTGCCGCGAGCTTCAATTGCATCTGATAGCGCTGGCGCAATTGATGTCATGTCACAAAGAGCGGATTGTTTGGAGTCCCATCTGGTCAAAACTCCCTCCCGTGTTCGGCAGGCTGCAACAGCATGGGCCCTTTTGCCAGATGCGCGGCCCTGGACCGACTCTGAGTTTCTGGCTCAGCGCCACAGCCTGCGAACTGCCCGAAACAAGCGGAGACCCTAAAAGAAAGTCTCTTGGAAAGGATTCTTGGCAACCGAAGCATGTTCGATCAGATCTCGGCCTTGGCACGCATTTCGAGCCGATGCTCCCACTCCTGCTCTGTGGCCTCGGTGGCCTACAGCTGTCGGAAAAGGCTTGCTCGCTTGCCAGTTTGCATTTGCCGATTTGCTCCTCAGAAATTTCAACGGCGAAGAATTACACGTTGTTCCGATCTGGTTGCCAAGAACCACTCACGCAAAGCACTCACCGCTTACTGAAGCAAGAAGGGACCCTGCCTCAGACTGAACACTGGATCCTGTCTCAGAGCATGGGCCGGGCAAGCGCCCGCGCGGGAAAGCCTTGGAACTGGCGGCTCGGCGGCGGCTAATTACTTCTCTCTCCCTCTCCCTCTCCCTCTCCCTCTCCCTCTCCCTCTCCCTCTCCCTCTCCCTCTCTCTCTCTCTCTCTCTCTCTCCCTCGACCCCATCGGCAGCAGGACAGCTCGGAACGTTTGCGATTTATATTGCCAAAACAGCAAGAGCCTTCAAACAGTGGAAGGTGGCGTGCGCGCCGAACGGGCGACCACCTCCACAGTGAGAGCAGTCAACCCCACTGCACTTCCAGCCGGGCTCTTTTAGAAGCTTGTCTCACACGTAATTAGATCGCGCAGGAGACCCGCAGGCACGTGCCGCAACACAAAGACAACAAGTTGGTTATGTCTCTCTCTCTTTCTCTCCCCCGCTCTGTCTGAAAATCAATGCATTCGGCCTGCACCTAAAACTCAATGTTTTTTCATCGCATCAAGAACGCCACTGCCCGATGTTCCTCAAATATATATGCATCCGTGTCGGAATGCCTGCCTATGTATTTTCCCATCCCGAACAGCTATCATACTGCGATGCTTACCAGTGAAACTTGTATTACACTTGAGTTGGATGCGGTCCCAGATTTCGATTTGGATGTGGTTTCAATAGGCGAGCCAGTCTGCACTTGGGTGCACGGATATTGTGGAACGGCCCTAGCGTGATTGATCGATCTAGAAAGGGTTGCTCACCACGCTTGAAGTGCTCTGGGATCGGGCGCCATGGTTGTCTGGTATTGCCGTACTCCGACTGGGCCATTCTCCGCTATCCAACTACTGGGGCCACTATTTTTAACATATTCAACCTGCACCTGATGGACCTGCAGTGTACGTGCGTGCGTGAGTTGGTGTGTGTGTGTGTGTCAGTGCGAGAAGTAGATGCTAAGGTATCACAACTGCTGTGCCAGCTGTTCGTGGTTGTACAACAGCTTTCGGCTAAGTCCTGTGGTGCACATGAGACCACGTACAATGCACAATGCAAGCGTGATGCTTCATGAACCTCTCCAACTCAACATCATCATATTTACCAGGCGAACGCTTTGCTCAAGGCCCTTGCTCCCAGATCACCTTTGCTCGACTTTTTGGAGATAGCCTGGCAGGCGAAACGCAACAATTCCCCGAAACTGGTTTATCCAACCAGACCATTGCTTGGTTAGATTGCACACTAGTACACTGATAAATATTGTTGACCCAAAAGTTCGGTGGGTTGTTCATGGCCCGCCTGCATCTGAATCTGCGGGCGACGCTTGCGACCGCATCCAGTCTCCTTTCTTGGGCTGATGTCCTCACAACTTTTGTGGCGCACGCTATATTGTCGTGTTCTTTGGTTTCAATATCTTAACACAGATTCAATCCGTGTGCACACGTTCAAGGATTTGAGACAACCAGTTTGAAGGCATGTGGACTGCTACTGCGGCACTCTTCTGGCTCTTTTCTATCCGCCTGGCGAGGTGCCTGATTTTCCTTCTCCGGTGTTCGCCTCACAGTTGTCGAGGCCATCAAATGCCATCGACACAAGCCATGTACAGCATGCGGTTCCCGCCCACCTTGGTCGAGTCCTGTGCGCTGGCCGAACGGGTGGCGGCCTTAAAAGTGAGACATGCATTTGAAGAACGTTGCATGTTTTGCATGGGCGAAGCACATGCCTTCAGCTGGGGGTGCGGCATGCATGGAATAAATTCAGCGGCACTGACATTCGGCATCCACCTTCGGTCCTAGCAGAAATCAGCGGTGCTTTCCGTCTGCCCGCTGAACGCAGGCCTCATTCTTCCCGCTCAGCATGAAGGAAAAGTCCTGATCGCCACTTGCGCATTTGCTGTGGCAGTTGCTGTGGCCGAATGAGGAATTGAGTTGCGTGGTTGAGGCTATGTGTTGCGCTGGCATTGGCTGTCCTGCGGCCCAACACGACTTTTGGCAAGCGTGGCATTCAGCCCAGACTTTGAGTCCTCGCAGCTAAGTGGCAAGGGACCGGAACCACATGTTCAAATACAAAGTTGCCTACTCGCCTATTCGCTTCATTCAAGGTTTACTTTCATACCTCAAGACAAAACCGACCATGTGACATATCATTGCACTGCATTGCACGGCATTACACTTCGTTGCACTTCACTGCATTGCACCATTGTCTATCATCGCACTTCCCCCGACTGATGCATCCCCATGGCAAAAAGCAGAGTGGCAAAAGCAACTGTCTAATGAGGCAAGCATTGCTGACATATGCAAGTTGTATTTGTGAGTGTGCTTGTGTGTGTGTGGTTTGCACTTATGCATGTTTCTTTATAATTGTGGCTGTGCTTGTGCTTCTGTTTGCGACTGTTTTGGTGTGGTCTGTGTGGTTGCTCTTGTGAATGTGTGTGTGTGTGTGCTTGTGTCTGTTGTGACTGTGCTTGTGCTCGTGTTTGTGCTTGTGGCTGTGGCTGTTTGTTTGTGTTTCTGGTTGTGCATGCTTGTGGTTTGCGGCCGTGTTTGCTTTTGTGTGTGTGTGTGCAAGGTGCATCTACTTCTTGCATGTTCTTACTACTAAGACTGTTCAGAAAGACACCCCCTGTACAAATTAAGTGTTCAAAATGTTCGAACCGAAGCTCTTCGACGGGGCAAAGCCTCTAAAAGCTGCTGGGATCTGCACCCCAAAGCAGGACGAACGAAGTCAAAGGTTACCTGCCAAGCTGGCCGCTATTCGCGAAGAATACCAACCAAGAATCCAGCCGCAAAGCACGAGGCCAGACAGTCTACAAGGTGCAGTGGTATTTAGCGATGGCTCCCCACCCTGGAGAGAAATCGCTCTTTTGTGCGCGCCCGCCAATGCGAGCATGTTGCAAAGAGCAACTCGCAATGCCAAGATGTTGGTTTTCTTGTGGTCATGGCTGCTTCCTTGGCAGCCTTTGCTCAAGTGGGCAGCTTGTGCTGGAGCAATGCATGCAGTGGAACCTAGCGTCTAAAGCACGAACGGATCCCCTCCTCGAGCGTTGCCAGCGGGTCCTTGGAACCAATGCAGTCCATGCATTCCACTTCTCTGGGCAATCCCACTTCTGAGAACTGAGCGTCCCTGTAGGATGCATCATCCAGGGCGCAGAGCAAGGCCTAACGAGGTGGTGTCCCTAGCAAAGACTCGAAGAGCTGACTCTCAACTGCTGCAGACATGGCTTTCTGCCCAAGACATACTGCGGGCCACAAAACAACACTACGCATTGCGACGAAACCATGTCATAAATAGGCGCGATGAGGCCAAGCATGCTGTGCACCCTGCCTCCGGCTCCTCCTCAGAGTTGTCTTCCACGTCAGCCCAGCGCGGTCTCAGACTCGAGGCAGTTTGGATTCAACTCCCAAGTCAACCTGTGACTGAAGCCAGTTTAGATTGCAGGCCAAATGTCCGGGAAAATGTCTAAACAAAACCCAACAAATATGCTTGAAGGTTCAAATGAACCAAATCCCTGTTAATGACCAAACGAACAGAAGCGACCGAGGCTGCAGGTCTTGATGCAGGAGCTCTCTCTCTCTCTCTCTCTCCCCCTCTCTCTCCCTCTTTCTGCGCCCCTGATGCACAGTTCCGCTCCTCGTGATGTTGTTCGGCCTGGCAGAGTGTGGACGTGGGGCTGCACGCCGGTGCATTCAAGCACTGAATACGGCCAATGCTAGATTCCCTGACGTGCAGGAGTAATGACAAGCGCCCACAGCCTGGAAGCTGCCACCATCTTCAACGGCCTTGACATCATGTTGCGTATGTGGCTTGTTCTTGCACTAGCTCAGCTCCAAACTGCCATTGAGTCACTGACAAGCAAACTTAAGATCACACCTTTGTTGAGTGATTCAACGCAAGGCCCGGGCGAAGGCCGCAATGACCGCAATTGCTGTGGCGCTTTGTGTGGCACAGGACCGGTTTCTAAATCTGAATCGCTGGGCCCACGAATGTATCAGGCTCAGGCCGCCTTTCCAGGACCTCCCGCATGCCTTCTGCATATCTTAGTGAAGGGTATGTATTTCAAGATCTGCCAAAAGCGTGAATCCAAGTGAAGTGGCTGGGGCGCTTGTGTCAATCAACACCTATTTCGCCCCACAATCAGTGGAGTCGTGGTCGGCAATGTAAAAATATAGTCCCGTCCGCTTATCTTTCCCATTGCCGGCTCCTGTGCTAAAGCCAAGCTTCAGCACAAAAAACACGCCGGACATGCCAAGCAAAGGCTCTATGAATCTTGTGGCTTGATTCAATGATGCTTCTTTCAGCTGGATTCAGTGAAGATATCGGAGTCCAGGAGTGGTTCGAAGAGCAATGCGGTTCCTTCTCCAAAGCGCGAGAAATGCAATAATTTTGGTGCAGCACGCTGCCGGTTCGCATATCCGGACGAAACTGCTGAAGCAACAGTATCAGGATTGAAAGTGCGTTCTGGCCAAGGCCAGGAAAAGCGTCTATCCAACTGAGCGCGCTGAGCTCTTGAATCTGCCCACCTGGCAGTTCACGTTGAGTAGCTGATGTAGCTGACACGGTCTTCCTCATCGCCTTTCTCATCAAATCCCACAGGGGTGACGAGGGCCCCTATCCATCCTGCAGGTTCAAGAGCCACAAGTGAAACCAGGCATTCGCCTGAAAAGACGTCCAACGCGCAGTCCCCCAAAACTCTCAGCATGAACCTTTCTGCATACAACATGCACGAGTATTTGTGCATATCTGAATGCTTGCGTGTGTGTGTGTGTGTGTGTGTGACCAACAGCGCACGCATTGCAATTCTTTGGTGGATGCTAGCTGTCGCAGCGGGACAGCTTGTCCGCCACGAACCCTCAGAGCTTCCTCGTTTGCGCGCCACAAAGCAAGGGCATGGCCTACTTCGGCACTTCAAAGCCCGGTGGATCGCGTGAGCAAAAGACTCTCACACGAGAGCAGTTCCAAAGAAAAACCAAACAAAGGCTGAGAAATGAGCAGCTCTAGGCATTTCTTGGAACATCAAGTTTGGAGCTGCCCAATGAAGTGAAACCGGAGATTCGACCTCGGCAACTGATTGCAGCATGAAGGAATGAATGACAATCTGATCTCACTGGCAAATGCTGTTTCGACTGGTGCCATTCAACTTCCACCCCCCCTTGTACAGTCTCTTCACTCCAACAATTGCGATGCTGACAAGGTGCTTTCAAAGTGGAATCTCGATGACTGCACTTAGAAGCTCTGAGCTCTCCTGACCGGCTCAAGGCCAGCATTGAGCGACTGGGCTGATGACTGACTAGTTTGGCCCAACCCTTCGTGCAAGCACCGCCCGTCTCCTGGCAATCGAAGCCGGGAGGAAAAAGAGACCTGGTCGGAGGAAGTGCAAATTTTGCCGAGCGTATGGAACACTCTTGAAATGATCAGCCTTTTGCGGCAACAGGGCAAGTATCAGTATCGTTGGTATTGGCGATCGGACAAGTTGCCAAGATGGGATATGGCATGAGGAACGAACTTCTGTACTCGCTCAACGCACCATGAGAGACACACAAACTTTGAACGAGTTGGCCGCGACAGCAAGCTGGTGCGCAAATTCGCAACGGCGTTGTCGTAAGCTTCGCATGCAATAGCTGGAAGCATCTCAGCCTGGGAATGTAGGGAAGGCTCTGTGGCATCATTGTCCTGTTCCATCCGACTTTTGAGAAGGGACTTCATTGTGGTACCCTGCACATCAAGCTGGAACATGTCAGCATTTCTCAAGCAAGACATAGCATGACCGAAGTCAAGGCAGCCAGGAGACTCTATGGGCAGATGATGGTGATACCTTCTCATAAGATTGGCGGATGTAGATTTGGCTTACACTTGATCAGTTTGAAACAGTTTGAAGCTCACCTTGCCCCGCGCATGCAGCCGCAGAATATCGAGCGTTGAGAAGGGGGCATGCGAAACATACCAATCCCTCGGTTACCAATGGCGGATATGCGCCTGAAACCTTGCTGCCATCTCTCCTGCAAATTGACCAGCAGGATGCCTTGCAGTGAGGTGACACCGATGCAAGATAAGGTGATAACGTTATTCTCCACCATATTTGTTCTTGTAAGATGCCTCAGTTTCATGCTGACGGCATGTCATGTCCCTCCGTTGAGACCCAGACTCCTAGGGAGCATCAAACTGCAGCCTGAGCATCAGTACTCGGCTCAGTTGACTCTCTCACAAAAGCGCCACGCCCTTCTCAATGGATTTGTTGCAGCCAGTGCGATACATCCTGATCTACCTCTGGCTGATTGTTGAGCGCCCTGAAAGGACCCAAACTCGATACCCCATCAATGCCTCATGCGACTCCTCATGCATAATTCGTGAAATCGCATGCAATGCTTCGTCAAGGCCCAGCCTGAAAACCACAACAAAGCACTTGAGCGCAGCCTAAGTACGGGAACTGAAGTACAAGACATTCGAGGTCAAGCAACCTGCATGAAAAACATGTCTCCTGCTGAGAGATGCCACTTTGCGCAAAACCAAAATGCATCTGAGGCACGTATTGTTTCCGCAGCCTCATGTCTGAACCAGCTCTCCTAAGTGGTCTTCAGGCGCAGCGTGCGCATCTCGAAACCTTGCCATGTTACTCGTGATACTGGTATGTTTGTGCACACAAGCTCCTGCGAGCTCGGCCAATGTGATCTGGCTTGGAGTACAGCCCAAATCGAACAGTGTCTGGCATATTATGCGGAATGAATAAGAGACTGATGGCCTATCCGCACTCACCTGTGAAACAGCCTAGATTGCTGCAAAACAACGGATTTCCCGACATGGGCTCCACCTTGCACCTTCGTTTCAAAGGCTCTCAAAGTCTCTCAGCCCCGAACTGGGAGCATGCTCAGCCCTTGATAGGCCTGACAGCATGCAGGGTCAAAGAGATTCTGCGAGTTCTTAGCGTGTCCCTTGAACGGCAAGCAAGCACTGACACATCTGCGGCTGTCTCCAACCAGCACAAAGCCCTGCACCCCTCGATTGCTGAGGCCCCAACTCCAGTCGGATGCCCGCCCTGACCTTTGCTCTGCCCACAGAGCTCAAGCCGTCGCCTGGAGATGCATTGAGATGAAACACCGCACGCAGCACATGTGTTTGACACACGTGTTTGTGTCCCGCGTTCCCACACAGCTGGGAAGGTCTTGAAGGAGTCAACTGCAATCTGCCTGGAGGAGTTGGTAGTCGGGAACCGAAGGTCCCGTGGTTGATGCTGGGCAAGCCTCCATTCAAACCTTGGAGGCGTCAGCGGGGGATAGAAAGCAACTTCTGGCGATGAGTTGCTGCCTTTCAGACCCCGCCCTTGACGTCCTGAGGCTCAAGCTACCCGAATTGCTTGTGCCGTTGTTGGGCGGAGCCACTCCAAGTGCCTGTCGGACCTGGCATAGGTCTTGCAATCAGTCACAGAGTGGGCAGGTGTCAACAAGATCCCTGTTCGTTGCCTGATATCTCAAGCGTGATCCACATGCTGCGAACACTGGGATCTGGCCTCCTCCACAGCTGACTGTGATGGCTTTTGGAGGTCCAGCAAGGGCTTCTTGAGGAGCTCCGGACCTGCATGCTCACGTATATAGTCTGTTCTCGCATCTCACGTGAGTTGGAGACTCACCTCCAACGACTGGAAATAGCACAAATGGCCGCCGAGCCTTCTCCTGCATCATCTTCTGTGAGGTCCAAGAGTTCCTGTCCCGGGCAATGAGTCAAATCAACAAGAGACGGGTGCCATTGTGAAACTGGACCTCCAGCTTACGCTTGGCAAGACTCAACTCTCAATGCCAGTGCCTCGTTGCCCGGGTCTTTCTTAGATTTGTCTTTCTTTTTCTTCTTTTTCTTGTCCTCCTCCCTGCGACCTCGGAATGAGAAGCGTACCTTTCCTGACATGTCCTTCCCACTTGCCATCATTTCAGCGATTGCCGACTGTTCGCAGCTCAACAAGGTTGCCACCTTCGTTGGATTCGGCCTGAGTAGAGAGCTGGCAACTACAGAATGAAACCATGCCTTTTCACACATGATCAGATCACCAAAAGCATTCCATCAGCGCTGCTGGAGCATGATGCACGGTCATGACAAGTCCAGCTTCTCGTGGGTGCTAAGAGCCGGGCAAAGGAGCGGTCCTCCTTGGACTTGTCACGCCTTGAAAACACCCGGGCACCATCACAAGTGCAAGGCATGTGCTAGAAAGTCAATAGCCAAGGCCGGCACGTACCTCTGCCCAATGGATCTGACGGGATACTAATTCAAGTCTCCCCATGTCTCGCACACCCTCATAGGTTTGAAGGGAAGTTCACAATTCATAAGTTGAGCAGGGCTGGCCTGCAGCGCCAATCACCAACATCCTGAGCGCGCTGCGAAGCTTCCACAGGCCGTGCTTCATGCAAGTACACACCCCAGAATCCGCCGACAACAGACAGCGTGTTGGACGCAAAAAATGCGCCTTACCTCTTTAGACTGTTGCGGGGGGGGGGGGGGGCTTGCGCAACTCAGTTTGTCAAAAACATTGGGGGGTGCGCTTTCGCATCCTGAGCAGCTCCAGCGGCACATCGCCAGCATCACCTGCATCATCCGCATCAGCGCCTGCCAAGGATGCGGATGATGCAAGTGATGCTGGGGATGTTGCCCATGCTGGTGAAGGAAATGAAGCAGCGAAAGGGGGGGAAAGATCTCAGGGAGGAAAGGGAGAAGATCTGGGGAAAAAATGCCTTAAGGGGGAAAGGGGGGAAAAGATCTTTGGGAGGAAAAGGGAAATCTTTCTCGGGGGGAACAGGCCCTAAGGGGCAATCGGGGGACAGGATCTCAATCGGGAAAGGAGGAAAAAGACTTTGGGAAGAGAAGGGTGGAGATCTTGGGGGGAAAAGGCCTTAGGGAGGAAACGGGGGAAAGGATCTTAAGCGAGAAAGGGGGGAAAAGATCTTAGGGAGGCAAAGGGAGACGAACTCAGGGAAAAGGACTTAGGGAGGAAAGGGGGGGAAAGATCTTTGGGAGGAAAAGGGAGAAGAACTG